GGATTATTATAAAAAATTAGGGTATATTAAGTTTGACAAGAAATTTGAAACACCCAAAAGAAAACGTCGGAGACCCTATAAAATATATATCATATAAATGAGCAGCGTGACCAGCACGACTCGATTTCGCCTGTTTGTGCGTCTTTTCCAATTAGTCACACTCAGTTTTTAAGATCTGAAGTTTTGCACACGTGCATTTCTCCCAAAAAAAAAACTGCTCATTTATCGAAACCGCCAATATCGGACCACTACAGCATATAGCTGCCATACAAACTGAGCGATCAAAATCAAGTTAAAAATTCTTTTATTATAATTTTTCTATAAGAAATGCACCTCGGAAGGGTATTATAGCTTTGGTGCAGCCGAATTTAAGGTTTTATCTTCTGTTAGTTTTATTTTGCCAATAAATGTTGGTCGGGGGATGGTGAAGGAAAGACAGATAATGTAAAAATTATCCTTAGAGCTTCGGCAAACTTAGAAGCGCTCCACTCTTTATAATACTTGCGCTTTATAAACTCAATGACTTAACAAAATTTATAAGAACTCTCGGTCTAGAGACTAATTTAACGAATAGGTCAGTATTTAACAACTTTTTAACATTTTCTTTTCACAACCAGTAGAATTTTTTCGCTTTTCTTATGCAGAAAGAATTAAATAGAACCATTTATTAAAGGCTACTTCCTTGCTTTGGTATTCAATATTAAATTCAGACGGTATTATTAGCATTCGCGTTCGGGGTTGAATATCACTTTCCCTGTCACTTTCGTTTCTTAGTTTTTTTTTTTTTCAAAAATCCAACATCAATTTCGCAACAAATGCACACATTATGAAATTCAACTCACGCCGTTGAGCAGGACTTCGCTTCCAACACAATTTAGGCGTATAATCCGATAAGTCCAATCCAATTCAATTTCAATTACAACCAAAACAGCGACCAAGCTATCAACCAACCCACGAACTAACCGCACGCTTCGTTTTGCTGCTTTCCGTGTCGACGCTCGTGTCTGGCCAGTGTGCCACTTTGTTCTCTTGGAAATTCCTCTTTTCCAAGGCAATTTTCCTAAAAGCTTTTTTTGCTGTGAGATCAAAAATTTGCGATAAGCCGAACAGCCACTGACAGATTGAGCTGTTCGGTCAAGCGCACATTGTCGATGTGGGGGCTGTGTTGTTGTTTCTTATCGCATTATTGGCTTTTGGTAAAAGAGAAATCCACTTGCCACACGCCATTTGCCATTCGGCACTTGCCACTGTGGCGGCCGCCACACAGCATAAGCGACCTCCAATGCAATAAGTAGTCGAATGGGCGGCGCCTGGGTCACGACTGTACGAAATCGTATTGCGCTGGGCTGTGTTAGACTGGACTAGCCGACTGCCTGGCTGCTGGGCGGCTTGGTGGCTGGGCTGCATGCCGCCGTTGCTGCTCAAGTGTTGAACGCTTTCGGCGCGATTATTGTGATAAAACTTGCACTACAAGTGATATTCTTAGTAATGCTCTTTGCTTTGCCTTTGTTGCTGTTGCTGTTGTTATGTTATTGCTTTTATCGACAAAAGCTCAAAGCAATTGCCGTAACAATGCAAAGAGCAAAAATTTATTGCTTGCGAAGGCAAACAGTTAAGGAGCAACAAATTGAATTGTTTCTCGGCTGCTGCGGGCAACGTACGAACCGTTGCAGCCCTTGTTGCAGTTATATTTCAATTTATTTTTTTTTTTTTGAATTTTCGCTTGTAGTAGCTTGTGGTGGCTTGCGGTGACTTATGGTGTTGTGTTGCCGCTGACAGCACAGCATGCTTGCCACAGCGGGCCGGCGACGAGGAGTCAAGTATCAAAACGCAATGCGTCGCAAGCATGCAAAGAAATATAACAACAACAACAGCCATATATTGCGGTTGAAAGCAATAACAGCGACAGCGATTTGGGAAATGCCGCCACACAATTGATGGTGGCGTATTTTGTTGCAATTTGTTGCGATAACGTTGTGGCACGGAGGCGCAAGCCAGTCGCCAGCTGGAGCGCCCGCAAGGAATAGGCAGCCAGTCGTTGCAACAGCATTGTATAGCAGTCGCTTGCGGTATTTAAAAAATAAAATAAAATAAAATAAAATAAAATGCTAAATAAAAATATAAAATTTGTTATCGCCAAAGTGTGGCATGTGGCTGTTATTGCCCATTTGCCGTGGCTTAGGGTGGTACGTGCGGCCTTTCATTGGCGGTGCGGCTTGTGCCACTGCGTGTTGCACACTAAATCTCTCAGCTTGCGTGCGATCAGCCATCAACAAATTGCTCAATGAATTGTTAATAATTTTCTGCAAGTGATTTTTTCAGCGTCCTTTTTGTGGTGGGAGTGAATTTTTTTACAGTAACTTACAAATACGCATTAAATCTTGATGTTGGTGTATGATGAAAGCTGTATTGAATTGAAAATTTTAAAGTAAAAGGGATGGCTGGAATCAGATAAGGTTTGGATTTTTAATATAAAACAACAAAAAAATGGGAGCGAGAAGTTTCATTTTTGATGGAATTTTTATTAAATCATTTCATAAAAAATTATAAAATAGTGGTATTAAACCTTAGTTAAAACTTTTTCCAGGAGAACTTTGCAGTGAAAAATTAAATGCAAATCGGAATTTTTTGCAGCCTGAACACAATTCTATGAATTCAACAATTTCTTTGACACAGTTTTCTGTTAACCAATATTGTGGCATCGCCAAGAAGCCACATCCACCACCTGTTTGCTCGCCCACATTAACGCCAATCAAATCAAGCGGATCCCATTTAAACTAATCGCCCAAACACAATTACCGCATTAACCAGCAGCAACAGCAACAAAAGCAAATGCAACCACAGCGAGAACACAGACAGAAGCAAGCAGTAAGCTACAATAGAATGTGGCAGCACACAACCAAGTAGCAGCAAATCACGCTTTCAGAGCAAAAAACGGCAAAAAGTCGCAAAAAATCCATAACCTAGGAGGCTTGTTGGCAAAACAGTATAAAAAGCCTTTAATATTCTAAAAAAAAAAAAATGCCAGCAAGTAAGTGCGAAAGCGTGAGTTCGCTGCTTGTTTTGCATACAGCCGCGTTGTTGCCACTTGATTTCCTTTCTTTTTTTTAACTTTAACGTTGCCTTGGTAGTTGTTGCATGCTGCACGTTGCAACGCCCTTTGCAATTCGTTGAGCTTCATTTGCGCGCTGATTTCAGTTATTATCTCGTGAATAGCTGATTGTTATGTGTGGCAACAACAACAAAACAGAATAGCAGAACAACAACAATAGCAAAGGCGGTCGGCACAATCAGCGTTTCCGGCGTTTCAAGGCCTTAATGTGGCATACAAAAGTATAGGCCATGACTAATAAGGCACTGGCTGCAAACGGCGCAGCCGTTAAGAGCACAGCGAATAATCAGAATGAATTATTTGCAGCTAAAAGCAATTTTCGCATTTAAATATGGGTCAACAGCTGATTTAAAATAAATATATTTTACGCGCATAAATTTACATTTTCGTCTGCAGAGCTTCGATAAATTTAATCCACCTTGAATTACATTTTTTTCTTGCAATTATTTTAAATTTCTAGTGGAGGTCGATAATCGCTTGTGTATGCCTTGTTATTTATGACACTCGCCTAGTTAACAGAGCGCTTCTTGTCACATGTCTTCGTATGCTGTCACCTAGGAATGTCATAATTTCCCAGTAGACAAATTTTTGCCGGATATTCCGGATCATAGCACTTAACTTTTTTGGTAAATGTCATAATCAGAGCACATTAAGGTCTTGAATGTTAAAATTTACCGTCTGCAAATTTGATAAATTTTTTGATAGACATTTTAGATCGGCAAATGCATTCGTCAAATTTATAAGAAAAAAGAACTGTATGATAAGCACATATAATTTTATATAATTTAAAAAATTTTTAATTGCTGTTATACAAAAAAAAAATACCATTAAAAACATACAAAGATAGAATAACAATTTACTACCTTGCCGCAAAAGACATCACATCATGACATCACGTCATAACATCACATCGCTATATAGCTTCAGGAAACCATTTATAATGCTGCTTCTCACCATTATATAAATAAAGCAATTGTTCTATACGCAACACATTACCTCACAATACATCACATCATATTAAATAACAATACTATCAACATATGACATCACAACTACGATCAGTTCACGGTTAAGCAGAATAATAATGCCTATATAATGTACATGTAAATTGTACATATATATACCCTAATGTATATCACATCATATCGCCTCAGATCACATCAAATGAACACTAATCAAACCAACTAAAAAAGAGAACTACATATATGAGCTCAAAATCTATAAAGTACTTATTCTGATTGAATAGAATTCGGTAGAATACTCTACAAAAATAAAAAAAAAATACTAAGGCAAGTGATTGCGATCATTAAATTAAATATTTAAGCAATCAGTATTCCATGAAATTCCCAAGGTGATTCCTAAATTAATAGCTTATATACCGATCAAATGATTACGCCCACATACGCATAAATCTCTAAAAAGATATACGCAATTAAAAAGTACTTCAGATATAATTATGGAGTATCTATAGAATTCTAACCAATATTAAAAGCGCGAAAGTAAACACTCTCGTTAAATGTGCGCTGAAAAACGTAAGCCAAACCATTGAAAGACATTTTTTTTCGGTATGTGTGAGTATTTTACGCCACAAATTTCTGTATTTTGTAATAGTTTTGGCCACCAATTTGTTTACACTTTTGCACAACACTATTTGTTTCTATTTTTGTCTGTTTACGGTTTCAACGATTGAATTTTCAGTTATTTTTTCAATTAGCCTGTGGAAACCTTATCTGCGACTAGGCAAAGCAGCAGCGAGTCGGTTTTGCTATCTATATACTTCAATACAATCATGATGTCAACTAATTTATTTCAAATCTCCAATCTTGTTGTTGTCAGATTTGGCTTTTTTATGCCACTAATTGTATGACTCATAAATCTCTTAGCTTACCTGACATTGTTGCATATTTGCAGGATTTATCAAAGCAAAATTTGAACTGAAATGATAAAAAAAAATGTATTTGAATTTGAGAATTCTGAATGCATGGAGTTTAGAATTTCTAAACGAAAAATGTTTGCCTTTATAGAAAATCTCACTCCTAATCGAGTTTAAGCATTTGCATGCCAAATTTGTTGTCAATATCAACATTTTCATTTAGACATTATCATTCACCTTTTCTATTATCCATCTAAGGGTTTTCCCCAAAACAAGTTTTCGTCAGATTGTATCTATCATATTTACTTGTTCTAAATCTAAGTGGCACTCCATTATTTGATATCTCACATACCACGCATTTTTCTTTCTACAGCTTCGTTGCTCTTATCAGTTAGTTATTGTTGGTATTTCAGGTAAAAGTTATTTTTTAAATACTTATAGCGCCAAGCCTTTTTTCCAGCAAAAGGGCGTAAATACTTGCGCCACAGGAATGTAAATTACATTAATAAATGTTTCTCTGAAAATAACAAAAATTTTGTATGTTGAAAATAATTTTTGGTGACAGAATTTTATTTCAAATTTTTGACAAACTGAAAAAAACACCTTAAATTGGCAGTAAATTATTACAAATTGTTCATAAGCATAAAAGTATGCTGAACTTGTGGAACACTCAACATATGTATTTTTGCTCAATATTTTGAACTTGTGAAACATTGTTCTCTCAGCGTGGATTTCAACTGATTTATAAATTAATGTTTATTTCTTTTTATACATTTTTGTAATATAGTATGCCTTTATAAGTTAACGATCAGCGCTTAATATTTATTTATTTAGTTTTAGATAATCTAGATACTAATTTTTACCAGCAATTTAACTTACTATTATTACAAATTACCGTTTTAGCAATACGTTGAACTTGTGAAACACTAAAATGGTGAAATTCCATCAAATATAGAAATAAAAACGTCTCTCAATTTTTACAACTTCAATGACTTTGTATAATTTTGAATTGTTTACATTTCCAGATTTGCCAACACACATTTATTACGTATGTCACCAAAACCAAAAGAAACGTTTCTGATTAGATATATATACCTAATCAAATTAATGACGTGCAAATTCAGATAGCAGCGTTTTGGAGTTATAAATTTCAACTCTGCATATGACTCTTCAATACAGTTACTTGCATAATTTTAATGGAGTTTTATGGAATGCTGGCATGTTTAACTATCTACTAACTTTTGCCCCGAAAATTATAGCACGTAATTGAAATTTTGCTTTGCTTTGAATTTATAGTTATAACAGAAATTTTATAAACTTTTCTTGGCGTAAAAATAACTGACAAATTAAAATTTAGAAAGAAAGATATTATGTGTATTGCAAAGAGTAAAATAATTTATAAACATTTTGTTGAAATATTTTTTTTTGTTTTTCCACCTCTACTTCAAAGAGGCGCCACACAACCAACCACTAAATTTGCCAAAAATTTTAACGATCAACGCCTACGAGACGAACAAATATCGCCACGTCAATCTTAGCATGGCTCACAGCAATTAGCCGCAATTGGTGGGTTTACAGACAGACAACCAGAAAACGGCAGCTACGTAACTTGCGATTCGTTGGCCACACACGTTGGCCACCCACGTTGCAACTTTTGTGTTTAGGCGCTTTGATTTTACTAACCAAATTTTATTATATTTCTGGCAAAATATTGATGAAATTGTTAGCTTTTTTTAAAAACGTTGTTAAAAGGTTATTGATTAGCAGATTTTAGCTTTCAGCAATATTACTCACGTTTTTAATGGAGTGGATATGTACCAATGCATTTAACGATTTTCGAAAATGACTGATTAGATGCGTAAAAATTTGCTACATTTTTTCTAAAAAAATCTGTGAATGACTAATAAAATCAAGTGATTCTTCAATAACGTAAATATTCCATCTACAAAGGAATACCTTCAGAACCAAGCTTCGAGTTAAAGTCGAAATTACTTCTTAACTTTCCTAGCCTTAGAATATCCCCAGAAGGCAGGTACTAAACTAGCAGGCAGATTATACGATTAGGACAATCTGAATAGGTTCGGGAATTTGTCAAACCCACGACTGTTGCCTCACCGGTGTTCCCTTATCCTTCAAAACTATTTGGGCTAAGTTTTATGGCTTATACAACCCTAATATTTCTTCCTACAAGAAGAGGATATTCCACAAAAAGAAAAGAGCATTCAGATTAGAGCGAGTCACCAATGTTTTTCGAACCCAGAGGCATCAGATGGCTGAAAGGGAAATCGATCTAGACCAATAAAAAGTGGTATAACAAATTGTGCAAGAATGTGCTAATAAAACAATTTGAGGTTGTTTGTTGTCTTTAGGGTTATTGTGCAATTGTCGAACTTTCAAATATTGATACAAATATTTGCACCTTAATCCCCTCTAGTATTTATCAAAACAAAGACTGAATTTATTTATAACATATTTTATACAACTATGCTCCTATATCGCCAAGCACTGTGACTCCAAACGACTATCACTTATGAGAGGTTGCCACCCACGTTCACACACGTCAGTCCCAGCAACGTTTTACTGCTAAAGTGCACTCGGATCAATGAAATACAAACCACTTAACGGTTAACGCTTAATGCAATGCAAAAGTCAAAGTTAAAAGTAATGCAATAATATTGCTCATTGCATGTACCGCAATGTTTACATAAATGATTGGCAGATTTTGATAAAATCAAACTGGCATGTCAACAAATGCAACAACACAAAAAATACAATCATTTGCCAGCTGTAATCATTTAGAGAAACTAGTTTTCGCTGAAGCACATTTCAGATAAAAACAATCAAAAAAACACAAAACCATTATGCTTATCTAAGCGACAAAACATTTATTGTACGAGTAGGGGTAGAAGAAGCAACGGCACTTCATGGCACAAGTGAATAGTAAATAAGTGGATTTTGCGTAAAAATACCGGTGTGATTAATTAAATTACTATGCGAAAGAATTTCACAAATATTGTTGCTCCTTTCATTTGCGCTTGCAAATCCACCTGGCAACTAATTGGGTGATTGAGTGTACGAGCACTAGGTATGAGCCGTTAAAGGTATGCGAATGCGCGTCGATATTTGCCGATATAGTTATTTGGTATAAATGGGTCGTGTTGTGATTGTGGTGAACAATTTCACTTTATGATATTAATAAATATGGTGACGCCACGAATATATTCAATTATTGACGACAGTCTTCGATATAATCGAGAAAGCGTGAGTATGCGAATGGGATTTGTTTTTGGTATGTGTGCAACAATCTATTATATAATGACGACTTTGCTAATATTTATATGTAGTAAAACGCGATAATTTCATGCTGCTTATGATGAAATTGGAATAAAATTGTTTTATATAAGTACAAGTAGTTGAGGCATTAACTGAAAATTGTAAATCGGCATTGAAAAATTCATAACTTGATGTATTGCTGTGTATCTTAATAGTGGTGACATTTCAAAGTAATCCCGAAAACCTTTCTACAATTGAGATTGTAATATGTTATTCGAATTGCAAGTGCTCGTTATCTTACAATTTTTTCATAAACCGTTTGAGAATTATATGCGTGACGAACGAAAATTGTATGAACGTGTATTAAAATAGAATTAGTAGAGCGGAACGAAAATTGTATGAACGAGTATTAAAATAGAATTAGTAGAGCTAATACAATATGACCTCTTTCTAGCAAGAGTAGTTCTTGATTATCAATTTTAGGCTTTCTCTCAAATACAGTAAAGCTACAAGTATAAACACTTTTTATTACGCTCTGCGATCATATCGGCCACAACGCCCGCGAGAGAGCAATGCATATGCGCTAAATAGAGCATATTAAACCAACTCTCATAGCATCTGGCCATGTATTTTAACAGCTTGTATTTGCCAATTTTTTGTAGCCTTTTCTTGGTCAATATCACCAGTGATAATCAATTTTTTAATGCATCATAATGTTCAAATGAAGTTATCCTGCTCAAATTTCACTGATTATCACGACTGTTAGCAATAAAAGCACGCAAAATGCCTTCATTTTGGCCATTATTCGTGTGGTATTCTTGTTTTTTTTTTTTTTAAGGAATGCTCGCTCTTTTGTGGAAAGTTTTATAACTCGGTTGAAGCTCATAAAAATTATTATTGCCTGCAATAATAATTACACCCACAATGCTTGTAAAAATCGCATGAAATCTGATAAACTTCAGTTATCGCATTGAAATGAAGCTATTCGCTTGCTACATTGTCTTTTAGCGAGATCTTCACGAAGATATTATTCTTCTGTGGCTTGATATTGAATTTCATGAGCAAATTTAACAACCCATTGAAAGATTAGCGATTTTTACAATGCCATTACGGTGTATTTTGGGATCTCTTCGGCATTTTCTAATGGTAAAAATAGCAGAGCGGCCTACCGAGCTATTTTCAAACTGTTCTGAGATGCGTCTTGAGGTTAGGTTGGTGATTAAAGGGGTTGTACGCATAAATTAAGGGATATATTGTTGAAATGAACTCCAAACACATTGCACTAATAGCTAATATTGATGATCAAAAAGTAAATAACACTTCATTTAAAAAATAACACTATACACAACTGAAAAAAAACTCACTTCAGATAAACCAATCAGGCACTGCATAAATTAAGGATAGATTAACAGTTCACAACTATATAACACTCCAAGATTCGAAAACCTTCACAAAAGCTTTAAATGCACTTTTGCAAAACACAACACCAACACATTGAAAGTTCTCATTGTCTTTACCCGAAGTAAACTTCAACGAGTTCAACATCCTTTACTTTTTGATGCATCCTGCCAGCGGCGCAATCGAAAGGGAAGTCCATAAATGAAAGAGAATCTGTAATGAAATGGATTACAATGAATCACTAGAGAATATGGCAGTTAACTGATACACGCTTGCGGAAAGGACGTGGACATGCCAAAAACTATTGTTCAACATCGATTTTAGGGCGGCAACAAACCGCATGCACCTTTAGCACACTTTCATTGAAATTGTTACATTACTCCATGGCACACACACACACACACACATACACGTATGTGTACGACAGTATTTCCTTTTTGTTTTATGTGTTCTACATGTTTGCCCTGCCACTGTGGCTTATCGCCGGTTCATGCACCAAATTCTGTGCCACACGCCGATTCGTTTGATGAATTTTGAGGGATATTAACACCCACACAAGTGGCTTCGCACACGACAGTGCGGATAAACAAAGGATCGCATAGGCTTGATGGAGCTGCGCTTGTAACTTGATACACAAAGTGAATAAATATAGCAATGTTATATACATACACACCTAAGCATACATGAGTGTATATGCCAGCAAGGACATGCATGGTTTTATATGGCTGTATGTAAGCGCGCGTGTGTGTGTTGTGCTCTTTATCAGCTGTGACACAAATTTCGGCCAAGTGGAAATTGGGATATGTGCGCTTTGTTGTTGCTGCGATTGTTGTTATCGCTGACATG